TTTGGACCCTCTGGGCAACTGCAGAAATGTGAACCTGGTCTGGTAATGATAATGCTCTGAGTGCTAGGCAGCTCTTGGTTCTCCACACTGATAGGGACCTCAGTAGATTATACAGGGACTATCTTGTCAGGCGTGGCCATGCCCCTCCCATTGCCTCTTGCCCCTGGATTCACTGCCAGTTCTATTTGGTCCTGGAGGACATGAAACTTCCTGGTCCCTGAGCCTTTGCTGGAGGAAAGGGTGGGAGTGGGGGCTCAGGGTTTGAGCTCTAAAGGCAGCTCGTAAGCACCAGCAACGAGCAGATCTGTGAGAGCTGCCAGCATCTCCTGACTCTGCATAGGTCTCAGTGTGTCCCCATTATGGCTTCGAGACCTTGAAAGAAGGCACAAGTGTCCAAAGCAGACAAAACGGACAAGAGGCTATGATTTCTCTTAGGTCATGAAGAGCAAAAGCAGTGAGTTAATAATAGGAATATCGTTAAACATTAATAATAGTAACAGCTATAACTTACTGAACACCAGACCTTATGCTGGGTCCTCCACCAGCATTCTCTCATTTTACTCCTCAGCACAGCCCCTCAGGAAGGCAGGTAGCACTGTTACACTTATTTTACAACTGAGGAAACTGATATTTAAAATGGCAGTTACTTTCCCCATTGTCCCATTTTATAGATCAGGAAACAAAGACCCAGAGAGGGCAAGCCACTGCCCAAGGACACACAAATGGCTAACAGACCAGAATCTGACCCCAAGTTTACCTGACCTTCATGCCCTTAACCACAGCTGTTTCCTCCTCAGCAAAACCCCACTCAACAGTGGCCAACCCCATAAGAAACTCCAGGGGGTATTCGGGCCTGGGGAGGCTGTGGTGAATGTGACGAGTCTATGTGCTCTAGCAGCTGGCCAGCTAATGAGTGAAAGACAGATACTGAAGGCTCAATCACTACAAAGGGTGATGGGGACCAGGTAGGAGACTAGGAAAGGACTTTATAACAAAGAGAGTCTACCTTCTCCCAGAGATCAAGAGAGCCCTCCTGGTTAAACAAGATGCTTCCCGGGCTGCACAAAAATTCTGGTCCAAAGGGGCAAGACAGACATTCACTGAACAATTGCATAAATCCTTTCTATTGCTTAGAATGGTGGGTGCCACTATAGGGCCAGGCACTGTTTTAACCAAGACCCAGCAAAAAGACACTCATCCCTGTTAACTGTCTGCACATATGCTCCATGTTGGAGGCAACAGATATTAGTATCTGGCATCGAAGCCAGGCTCCTAGAATGACCCTTACTTCCCCCTGTCAGCTCCAGGCCCCTGTACAACTTCTCCTGACCTACCAGCCACAGGAGGTGGCTGGGGTTGCTCACATGGGGCCCAGCTGCAGCCCCTGTCTCCCCTCCTTCATGCAGCTCTCAGAATTATTGATTCTGCCACTGGTACAGCCAGGATAATTTTGCTTAGCTTCATATACCTGGTTCTCATGAATTCTTCGGCCAGAAGGTTATAAAGCTTCTTCTAAAACATGGGGGAAAGATTAAGCCTGCTTATGGTTAATAATACACTGTACCCTGTCCATCAAACTGCCTGTCTGCTATTGAAAGTTCACTATTAGATACTTATTTAAACAGCCTCGCAAGGCTTCCGAGGAAAGTGCAGTTATGCATTTTTCCCCTCCTTGCTGGCGCAAACGACTATAGATAAACATCAATTCGCTCCTGCAGATCACAGTCACAGTAAATAAATTTTTCAGGAAGCTTGAGATCCGCACAAAGGCTCCGCCAAGCTCCCATTTCACACAACATCAATGTTTGGCCTCCACGAAATAAAAGCTCTAAGGTGCCCGCCACTAGGGCAAAATTATCAATTGTCAAGTCACTTTTAAAAGAGAAAGGACAGAGCATTTCTGGGAGACATTTCATCCTGCAGCAAAAAAAAAAAAAAGATGATGGTTGGACAGTCACTTCACTTGCAAACTAACCACTAAAATTTCCCCCCTAAAATCCCAGGTGTCCATCCCCCCAAATTCTGGCCTGATCCACTGCCCCTGGTTAAGCCGAAGCAATCACAGCGTGGAGAAGCTAGCTCTGGCTAAGTTCAATGACTTAAGTGACTCAGGCTTTGGGTTATTTTTACTTTCTCAAAGTGGGTTTTTTTCCCCCACTACTTTTAGAAGTGGCAGACGAGGTTTGTCTATTATAAAATATTTGTTGCAAACACACACACATACACTCCCTCACCCACCACCCCCCACACAGTTCCTGTCTGTGTAAAAATCTCAAGTCACTGTGGTGTGAGAGACAGGAGACGAGGAAGCTGAGACACCCTCCTGGGCAAACCGGGGTTTATATAACACTCTGGGTCTCGTACTCAGCACAATTCCACCAGAGCAGCCAACCTGGAGTAGGCACCATTTTGCAGATGGGGAAACTGAGGCATTGGGTGCCTAAGGAAGGAAGAGGGAACTAGAGAACTGAACTTGGATGTACCTGCATTCAAATCTCAGCTCTACCACTTTGCAGCTGTGTGGCCTTGGAGAGGTAGCTTAAACCTGCTGGAACCTCAGGTTCCTATCTATAAAATAGCAACTGCAATAGTCTCTGCCTCACAGGGTCGCTGGGAAGATAAGCTTCTAAATTCACATTCATTAGTTTTATTATTTTTTAAATGTATTTTTATTGATTTCAGAGAGGAAGGGAGAAGAAGAGAGAGATAGAAACATCAACGATGAAAGAGAATCATTTATCGGCTGCCTCCTGCACGGCCTCCACTGGGGATCAAGCCCGCAACCCAGGCATGTGCCCTTGACCGGAATCGAACCCAGGATAGGCTGATACTCTATCCACTGAGCCAAACCAGTGAGGGCATTTTTACAATTAAAGGGCTCAGACCCTCCTAGCCAATCCTTGGCTGTGAGAGGAGGGAGCACCATTCTTGAAGCAGCACATCCTGTCTTGAGTCTATGCCTGTCACTTCAAGTCAAGGCCATCCTCCCTGTCTCTCCGTCCAAACAATGAGGACTTGAACTCATCAGTCTCTAGCATTAAAGTCCCCAACCACCTCACGGAAGGTATTGTTATTATCCCCAATTTACAGAGAGGGAAACTGAGGTTCAGGGAAAGGCAAGTTGTCAAACACTAAGGAAACACAAACAGCCCCAGACCTCAGC